ACAAATGCATAATTATTTGTTGTCACTGCATACCAAACAAGCGTCCATTTTCCACTTCGCTACATAACAAGGATCTCCTTCCTTGTACCCAGTCCCAAAGCAGCCATTCATCAACACGCTCCCAAGACCCGCTGGATAAGAAAAAGATGCCTGGTCGTTTTCCGGAGGAGAGCCTTCTTCGTCAGAGATGGATGTGTCCATATGATAACCAGCGGGTACAAACATGTCTTCTGACTGCCAGCCTTTGTCTGGAACAATATCCAGCTTTATCTGTATATCGGGAAACACCAATGAAAGACGCAGTAACTCACATTCAAAAGATAGTTTGACCATTTTAAAAGCGATTTGTTATTGATTTATCATATTAAACATAAATATAGGAATTAAAAGCCATATCCAGATCAAAGAAAACCAAATTACTGTAGTTTGCAAAACTAATTCCCAAACTCATTAATAATCCATCAAGATCAAACAAAAGAAATCATGACCGTGACGGTTTGGATAGTTGATCTTAATTACAGTAGATTTCTTCGATTTTATTTCTCCGTTTTCTCCTTAATTTTAGTTTCGATTGAGAAGATATATCAAACAATCAAGACAGTGTTTGACCACGTTTCAAAACACCTCGAAGTTCGTCAAAAATACTCCGCCACGCTCGTATTTTCAACTCTGTTCTCGGTGTTTGAAAATGTGGTCAAACACGGTCTTTCGTGTTTGGTTTATTACTAAAACCGATATTTTCTGAACACACATGAATACAGAATATAGATGTCTTTTAGTGATTAAGTCAGGCAATGTGTTTTATCTGAAACAACAGTGATCTCACATCTTTCTTCAAAAATTTTTCTGCTTTTTCTTGTGCTTCATCGATAATCTGGAGTTGCTTGTCCACCATTTTCCCCATGACTTCTATTCCTTTCTCCACTACAGCACCCTGGATATCTGCGGCAGCCGCGGCGGTTAGGGGCGAGTTTAACCTCACAGGTCCTGACCGTTTAGAGCCTGGTTCTGCAGACCGAGTGGTATTTCCCCTTTCCCTTAAGCTTTTCAAGACTTTGCTGCTTTGTCGTTTTCTCGCTGCAAGGGTGACAATGATAAACTGTTGCTGTTGTTGCATTTTTGCCGGATTGTGCATGAGAAGTATGAGTGCATATAAAAGAAAACAAAGAAAAATCGCTCACGCAAACATTGTCTTCAAATGTTCTTTCTGACGCCAATTTGGGCAATGAATAAACTCGAGGTCACTAACCTTCTCTGAGAGCCTTCCGACGTAAATGTTGCCTACGCAAAACAGCAGTAATATTCTTAACGCGAGTGTTTTGAACCTGTTGTTGTAGACCGTTTTGGTTTCCCTGCTGATTAAGACCACGATTTACAGGACCAGGTTTATTCGTGAAACTGCGCTGGTTTCCTCGAACATAGCTCGTAGAACTGGTAACAGGACTTGACTGAGGACTGTTTCTTACAAACACTGGTTGGTAGTAGGCCGCAGAATATGGCGCTGCCAAAGGCGTAGCTGGTACAGTCTGAGCAGCTGGAGATGGTGGATTGTAAATCCAGTTTTTCTTTGACGGCACATCGTGTTTATTCCTCTTTGAGGCAGTCTTGGACCTGCGTGAGCTGTGTCTGCTTAACACGGAATCTAGTGGAACAGTGAAATGGCTGAAATGTCGAATGTTGCATTGAATCCGCAGATGTTGAATTGAATCCGCAGATGTTGGAAAGTTCAGCACTTGGACTCTTAGGTACTACTTAGCCACACTACCCTTTTAAATTGTTCCATTTAAAATACTCCTCTAGAATAGCCATATTGAGGAGAATGTGTATGGTAAGCAATAGGAGAATGGAATTCTGACGTTAGAGCTGAGGGTATACATGTAAGAACTAGTCCGTCAAAAATATTCTGTTGCGCGTCGTATTTTCTCTCCTCTCGGTGTTTGGAAATGTGGTCAAACACGGTCTTTCGTGTTTGATATATTCGGGCTTCTACTTTGCTTTGTACCTTTCAGTCAGCCTCTATAGTGGTCTCATTGTTACGCCATTTTTTGGTTATTTTGTGACTAATCATTTTTTTCCAAGACGACGAGGACTAAATTTTAATCCCAGGATAGAGTGATGTTAAAGGTGTCTTACCTATTAACGCGGAGAGGATAAGAATTACAAACAGTGTTGCGAACCTCATTGTTTCATGTACGTCACCCTGCAAAAGGCCAGTTTGCGAAATTCTTGAGAACTTAGACTGAACCATAAATTCAGGTGATTTAAAAAAGTGGATAATATAATAAAATTAAGAATCATGTATAGCAAATTAAATAACTTTTAACTCAACGTATTATTACAAAGCAAACCAAAATATTAAATTATGGCATTCGTTGTGAAAAAAATAAATAACATTCAATTAACATTCGAGAATCAAACATTTAAGATTAAAAGTGACAACGAAAAGTGATTCAAGTCTCTAATCTAGTTGCAATAAATTGAGAGCTTGGTTTGCTCAACCTGTTAATGAGTGGTAATACGGGCTAACGAAAGTACATTTGATCAAGTTTTGCTTGGAAACTTCTGCACCGATGCTGAGACGAATTAATTATAGAATCTAAAACAATATGAAGTAGGTTACCTTCAGCTATTACTTACAAACGCAGCGAGTACACCAATCTTCTGCTACACGAGACAAAACGAAAATTAAAAAAAAAAAAAATTGCAGTCGAAGATTGAATTTTTCAGTCAGGCCCCCGATGCTGTAAAGATGTGAAGGTTGAGAACTTCAACCAATAACCGCTGCCGAAACTGTTACCCATAAAAATTTGTATAACTGTTTAATGCTTATTGATTGACTTTAATTTGTCTGGACTTATCTGACAAGAATGAATTGTGGAGAGCATTTTTTCCTTCGTTTCGCTGTTAACTTTGCTCGGGTTATTTCATTTGCCGTTTTTTCTTCTGTGGTTAACACAGGAAAAAAAAAAACTTTTTTCTTGAACCTGATTCCCCCCGCAGAGAGGCATATGGTGGTTTGACACGCTTTAACCATTCTTCACGTTGTGATGGCTTTGATTTCCTTTTTCTACCCCTCTTAATTTTGAACTTTTTTTTTTTTGTTATTCGTGAAGAAAGTGAATAATCATGAAGAACAAACTTCCGACACAGCGAGAATTCACGTTTTGACTTTACTAATGGTTGTTTCCACATAATATCGATCAATAATTTAACAACTGTAGACAACCACGAGACTCAGTGTTCTCTGGGCCAGGAGTCAATGAGGCGCAGACAAGGTGACTGCCACTCATAGCAGTCTTTTGGTTTTAGTGTACACTCCAAAGGGTAACAGTCAGGACAACAGTCAAATCAAGCCATTTTCATTTACAGGGCATCTATTGGAAAATAACCCAGCGACGAGGGAATATGAAAAGATTCGCGCATTTCCAACAGAACAGTGCCTTCTGACAAGCAAGCAGTACCCCACAATGAGTTTATATACGGTGTTATTCGACACTCAATCGGGGTTTTCAGTCTCTTTTTATCGTCATCACCTTATCGTTTCTCCACACCGCAGCTCTGAAGTTCGTACCCTAGAGAGACGTACCGACGTTGGTCTAAGACCACCACTAAGTTTGCTCCTTCAATCAAACGAATGTGAGGATTGAGAAGAGTCGAATCGAATTCATGTTCTTTTCGACTCGGCCTCGTCTCAACCGTCTTTTAGAGTCGCTTACTACCTAGAAAGAAGTCTTAAGACCAGTTAGCTGCTTATGTCTCACAGTGTTGCCATTTCCAGCGATCGGATTCATGAGAGTAGCCACTGTAAGAGGGGGTTTGATCGCCCGACATAAAATGTCTGACATCATTATCAACTGTAAACAATATCCTGAACGGCACTGATTTACCGATCAGAATAATCTACGGCTCCAACAACTGCACTATGGAGAGCCGTGTGCTTGCTTTCTATAGAAAAGACAGCAAGAAATATCCCACATGACAGCATTCTCGTCCCTTTTCACTAATTCAAGATTGCTTTCATTCTCCAAAATACCACTAGTTGATCTCGAACTGAAATGGTTCGAGTACAGCGCAAACCATGTAGTGTTGAGAAAGAACGCTTGAACCCTTCAGGTAGCTAAAAGCAGCATGCAGACTGTAAACAATAATGAGTTAATTATTGTCAAATATACATGGCTTGACAATGGATAATTGTATGTTTTGTTAAGAGATTACAATATTCTTCTAAATAACATCTGCTTAACCAAACAAGCGACGTTCACAACGAGCGTAGAAAAGAGCTAACATTAAATCACACAAATACATTGTAATTATTGTAGGGATTTTAGAAATATATATCCGACTACCATAATTAATTTGGTGTGAAATTCATCAGAGAACGAGGGAAACGTAACGTTTAAAATTTAAGTGTAAATTGAAGAGCCACTTGTGTTTCTAAAATTATGCTCACTTGACTTCTGCAAAAATAAAAGTAACAAACTTGAACAACTCCAGTTTTATTTTCTACACTGCCACGTTTTGTTCTGTAACTTAACATTTCTAAGGAACCTTATTATAACAGTGAACAAACGGCCCAGCGACGACGTGGTTAATGAGTACTTCTAAGTTGGACACTTGCATAGGAACAAGCGTCACTACAATAAAAACGTTTGAATCATTACGAGCCAATGTCATAAGTTAAAACAATGTGAAATAATTTTTCAGCTCTTATTGCCAGCTTTGCAACAGCACCAGACTGTAGACATTTTTGCCTCCCTTGTCTAAATCCTGCTACAACCATCCATGAAGAATTTATGTCATTATGTCTTGGTTTCAGTCTTCGTCTCAGCACTACTTCCAGCAGAAACTTCCATACTCTCTCCTCCACTCTCCCCTTCCCCCTCTTTCTTCTCTTTCTTGGCTCCTTCCTCCCCCTGACCACTGTCCTCGCGCCTTCTCTTGAAGCTTCGGCCTCGACCGCGCCGGAATTTGGACGCGGGAGGCAGCCGATCGATTCCGAGAACTTTATGCAGTTGTCGGAAAGCCTGAAGTCGTAGAGCGTGCTGATGGGAGAAAAATAAATTGTCAGTTACGGATGTGATAGTATATTCAGGTCACATTAGTATGTCAAGCAAAATTAAAGAGGCCTATCAGGCTCATTAAATCAGTTTTTTCCCTCCACCAAGTGTCAGGCAAAAATCTGTTCATCATTTAGGCCCTGCACAACTGACGCAAAAAGTGGAGTCTCTTCTGAGGGGGAGCTAACAAGCTCAAAAGATCAATTTGCTCATTACCCTCTCTAGACGGTAAAAAATCCTTTGGACGTAAAATTCCTCATAGCGTAAACCAACCTGTGCAGAAGCTGTCAGATCTTCTCTCTCCTGCATTGAAACAGCGCCTAAGGCATCTACAGTGTCCTTTTCACAAGGATCACACAACCCTGCACCACCTGTAGCACAGACAACAAAGAGAATTAACGTAGTAAATGGTTTGAACCCAGGGGTATCAGTAGTTCGTCTTGTGTGATCGTCCGGGTGAGAGTGGTTCTGGAAAGAACTGTTGTTCGTGACAGACGTTTTGACAACCTGAGCGGAAGTCATTTTCAGAGTCAAGTGAATAGCGTTTGTCAGTCGATGGTGTTAAAAGAGAGTCAAATTTCAGTTGAACATTTTGTCAGTGGCTTTGTTGACTACACGTACCTTCCAGGAGAAGACCACTAGAAATGCATTCCAATACGCGGCGGAAAGCTTCACCGGGTCCCAGAGGCTGCTGGCTGCTGCTGAGTGCCTTCTCTACCAACAACTCCATAGCCTATCAAAGAGGAAACATTACAAGAACTTGTAAAACTTCTTGAACAATTTTTGGGTGCTAGAAATTGATGCAATAAATAAACGCTCTGTATGCAAACAGTGGAGGAGTGGAGGTATCGTGGTTAGTACGCTTGACTCCGGATCGAGCGGTCTGGGTTCAAGCCCTGGCCGGGGACATTGTGTTGTGTTCTTGGGCAAGACACTTTACATTCATAGTGTCTCTCTCCACCCAGGTGTATGAATGGGTACCAGCAAGCTGGGGGTAACTGGACTAGAAGTCCGACTAGAGTAGAATCACACCTAGTCGCTTCATGCCGCTGAAACTGAGATAAGCACTGGCTTGATAGACCACTTGGCTTGTATACAGCCTTTACGTTACTACCCTACCAGTATGCAAACAGTTCTGAATATTATACCTTTTCGTGACTACTATAAACAAACAATAACTTACCCAATTGTTGAGAGGAGAAAATGCTGGAATCCTCTGGCACAGATCACGCATGACGCGTATAATGATGACACATGACTGTAAGCCATTTGCCTTTGCCTGTGGAAAACGATAAAACAAAGTCAACAATGATGGAGAGAACTCTTTAATGCCAACGTTAAATATATAACAGCCCAGGAATTGTTAACTTTACTGTACAGCGCACTTCAAGCAATAGCAGGGTATCAGAATATATTTTCCCACCACTACAGTTCTCATACAAAAGCTTTAAACCAGGTTCAATTCTTTCATTAGCCTGATTGTCAAGCAGTAGGAGATCGCTAGCTCTCGCTCACTTGGAAGTGAAAGCAAGTGACTGTAGACTGCCTGAGAATCAGACTATCCTTTTACATGTATAGGGAAGTATAGTAATATAAACACACTGAAAAAGTTAAGAGGCGGGGGGCGGGGCGAAGGATAAAAACAGCTCTGAAATTTTTTAATAACGACAACAAATGTTCCATGATCACAAATAACAGAATGGAACCTTCCAGTCAAATATGTTTATATGATGGAGGTTGTTCCACAAGATCTCTAAACGCATACACGACAATGCCGATCTGTATTAGGGGTAGTAGCAGTTTGGCACTGCTTGATTGAGGTTCATGGTGTTTCAGCAAGAAGAAACAAGATAACATGAATACACACGTTTGTGCTGTTTCCTTTAGTCACGCGGAAACATCTTGAGCTTCAATCAAGCAACCATAAACCATCATTACTGATAATACCGTTCGACATTGTCGCACATGCTTTTACGCTTTTGAAGGACGACCTTTCTCAAAACAGCTGTGTAAAAGTGCATGTCAACACCAGTACTTGTACTATCAGTTAAATTAATGTACATGTACGCAAAACAAAGATCACATTAGCAAGGCTACTCTATGCTATACTTGCAAGATTACAGGTAAATGTCAAGAAAATTAATGTACTGGAACAAACAAACAGTGTGTTAAATATGCTGTCATTAGAAATAACAAAAGACTAAAAGACATCAACTAAGTGAACTACAACGAACAGTACACTGCAAACCAGCACTTCACAAGAGAATGAAATGCTCATTTACAAACACATAAAATAAAATCAAAAGTAGCATACAGCGGAAAACCAGAGGAGATGGCATATCTCTTCTGAGGTCATTGTTTTCCAAAGAGGAAGTGTCACATATTTGCTCACAATACATACCTTTGCTGCACTTGCAACTAAAACTGCTCAGAACATACATAGCAACACAACCAGTGCTTTAGTTAACATGAGAAAAACATTATGGTTGGAAGCAAATCTAACAAATGAGATGGCCAAAAATAATGCTATGTTTAAATAACAGAGTGGAAATTTTCCTGTAAAGTTACATGTATCTTCTTGGACAGAGAATAAGACAGTTTTAGCCAATTATAATTACACACTTGATGTTTTGCTCTGGTCTATGCACTTCATAGAATGTAGGGGAGTGTGTAGCAACTTGTTGCAGTCCAAACTCTTAAATTAGATGTACTTCCAACAGCAAAATGATATAATAAGAGAGAATGTGACAATTCCTCTTAAAACATACAGCAAATGAGCCGAACCTGAAACCATTTAGCATGTCGTAGCGATGCCAATGCAGCTAAGCATTTTGGCCTGTCCAGCACTTGAGGATCGTCTTCAGCTACGGGTGAGAATCGGGTGGATAAGTAGGAGGTGGAAAGATTACCCCGGTACATCCCAATACTGTCAACAACTGTCACACAAACTATCACCCACATGCATACATCATCACATGTGTACACACTGTTATATGCCTTGGAAACCACAGTGAAAATATGTTCCACGAAAAATCAGTTAGATTCAAGCCAAAGCAATACAAGCAACAGCGCAATGAACCTAATGTGTTTCGTTTTCAATATAAGGAATTTACAAAGTTAACTCTTTTACATGGAAACCTCATCATTCCTCTCACTATTAAGTTGTAGAACAAACTCTATTGCTTTAGGAATATACATGTACAAAAATAAATCCAGGAATTAAGTTCAAAGTTGTACAATGAAACATTCTCCATTTAAGACTGGTACTAAAACAGAGTAACTGGATAAAAAGTCCAGAAGTTGTGAAAAACTTTAAAATAATTTGGGCACGTTGTCATGCGCATTGAACATTAGCACGGCCATCCACTGGCCAACAAACAAGCGACAACAAACAACACAAGGCCGAGTATCTTTCCACCTCCTTCCTCCACGCTGTAGCATGGACGGAAGACATCTGAGTGTACAAAAATTACACAGAGAATTCTGCAGATTTGTAACAACATCAGAATGATTATCAAGCACAAGGCTGATAAGCTTTGTGCACAGGCATTGCTTCCAAATAAACGTTAATATCAGTATTAATTCTTTATGGGTGCCATGAGAAGTCTTTTGGACTTTGGAGGAACAGTAAATCAGTGATTGTCTTCCTTAAACAAAATTTCTCATGCATAACACAACGAAGGCAATGCCAAAAAAAGAACCTTTGCATTGTCAATGAATTTTGGAATGTCACAATGCCAACAATTTTGTAACAATGGTAGAAATAGATCTGAAAGTTGGAAAAGGGAAATCTAGAGGAAATAGAATTGCTGTTCAAACTGAACTAGCCCCAACTTAGCAAATGTCTTTGTATGTCAAAAAGGCTGTGAGAAACTTGGTAACAGTGAAACAACAAGTATTTTGATGAAGCCACAAATACTAGCATACATTTGCAGTAATAGGCAATTTGATTGTATGTTCCTCAAAAGCAAAACCAACTTTAAAACAATGGGGCAATACATGTCAAAATTTAGATTCCCCAAAACAAGAGACAAATATTTAAGTATAAACCACAGGGCCCTTTGTAAGATCTGTAATAAGCAACCACTGCTCGAACAGTGGTTAATACAATTTCCACAAAAATATTTGTTTTATGAAGAATGCAATAATAAATTTTGCTAGTCGATTGATCAAAATTTGCAATCAGATAACACTGGTCGGCAATGTTTCATCTTAGAAAGGACTTATTAAGGGCCCTGTGGTTGCATGAAAGGACATAAAAACATCTACCATGTTCTGCCTCCTCTCCCTCTCGCATGACAGGTGATGTCAAGGTGATTGTCACAACCACCTTAGGGTCAGTTGTAGTGACAATTTTTATTGCAGCTTCCTCATATGCCACCTTAATCTCATACTTCTCTTCTGTGACTTTCTGCCAAACAAAAAAGAGAAAAACCAGTATAGAACTTTTAACATGGTTGTGACACCAAACACAAGAGTCTTAGAAAGCACAAATGCCGAGACACTGCTCGCTGCTATTAACTTGGCAGGGAATGCTTTCTTCTCCCATTGGGGTACAACACATTTAAGACTCTGGCTGACAACCTACATAGGTCTTCAGCTGTCAATCACCTTGCACTCAGAAAGTCTGCCTCATAAAATTTACTTTGTAGAATTCACTGAGCAAAAATAATACAATTTTATCTGATTAGCTTTTATAATATTGTTTTACAATATTGACTAAACAAGCAAAAAAATAGCTTACTGTGAGGTGAGCCGGTAAGAGCTCAGCAACTCTGTTCATTAACGTCTTTGTAGGTTTATCTATGGTGAAAAGGCAAAAACTTATTAACAGCATTTGCATAGGAATAAAATTTAACAACAAAACTACAACATTAAATAAACAAACAAACAAACAAACAAACAAACTGACAAACAAATAAATAAACAAATGGGTATAGTCAGTGGCAATCCACAGAGTAGCTATTTATCCATCAGTTCCAGATCAAATTGAAATTTGGAAAGTTTGAGGAAAGGTAAAAAAGAGAGTTTCTTACCATGACACAACACAACTAAATCAACATCAAGGCGTTCATGAAGTAGTAAACCTTTGGCAAGTACACCAACTCTCATGACGCCCTTTAGAGCACCTAAGAAAAATAAAGGATAAGTTTCTAGAATGTTTCAGTAACATTACCTGATGTTAAATTATTGGAACCTACATGTACATGTACTAAAAAGTTGATGAAGTTAACATGTTATTTTGGTCAAATCACTGTACGTACAGAAGGAATGCAAAATAATATTTACACATACAGTGGGACCCGCCTTATGACCACCTCATTATTAAGGCCACTTTATTCTGGTCTGAACAAAAGCTCAGTCAGTCTTTTTTTTTTTTTTCATTTAAAGAACCCCTTTGATATGGCCTCCCAGTTATATGGCCAGATGTTTGCGGCCTGTTGGTGACCAGATAAACAGGGTTCCAGTGTACTCATTCAAGTTTCACTTACGCGGTGGTGAGGATTGCTTGCTGGGATCCTTCTTATCATCCTCTTCTTTTTTCTCGTCACTTCCTTCATCAGACTCCTTAACCTCCATCTTAACTTCATCTTTGGCTTCTTCTTTCTCTTTTTTGATTGCAGTTTCCCCTTCTTTCTTAGGCTGAGCAGCAAGGTCTTGCTCGGCAATCAGGTCTGAGACAAGTTTTAATGCTTTTTCCGAGGCGGACACAATCTTTTGAACTGCTTGTAGTTCTTGCTCATTGGGATAAATTGCCGAGTGTTTGGCCATCACAAGGCGGTCATCTGGGGTGTCATATCTTGGGCGGGGCATAGGCTGTGGCTTAAAAGGAACAACAGCTATCATTAAAACTACACTATTATGACAATATCACCCAGAAAAATACTCATGGGGAAATGAAAAACTGAAATGTTACAAAATAGTCTCATACAAGTCAAATAATGACAAAGCTGCTGTTTGCTATGAAAACATTTAAGTTAATTTCAAATTTTAAAACATCCAATACTTGAAGTTCATCTCTCAAAGAAATGCTCACAAGACAAGGTCTTATATGTTCTATAAAATAGTAGAATTTCATAGCTGCAGCATATTGTATTTTAAGACTTCTTCCATTAATTCACTTCTACTAAAGACTAACTCCTACATGTAAACTTTCTTTCTACATGTAATTACATGTACATACAACAGTAGAGCATAAAGCAGTGCATGGATTCTCACCGGCACCATGTCACCAACTCCTTCCATAAGGGGCCGTGGTCCCATTGGACCTGGTGGGCCTCTTGGTGGTCCCATTCGGCCAGGGGCCCCCCATTCAAAGAACTCTGCCTCATAACGACGATGTCTTTCCTCTTCCCAAAATCTCTCCTCCTCCACTCTCCTGTAATACTCTTCTTCTTCCCAACGGCGTATTTCTTCCTCATGCCTTCCCCTGTTGACATGCAAATAAAACTTGAACACAAGCAAGGAAAATGGAATATTTAAAATTTCTAGCCTATATATCAGACAAAATAATTAAGGAAACATTATAATGAAGTTCAAAGCATTTCAGATAATTAATTAACCTACTTTTTCCACTGCCAGTATTGCTCTTGTTCCCACTGTCGGCGAAACTTGTCTTCTTGCATTTTGCTGAGGCGGCCACGGCCACCTGGTTTTACATCAACCACCAGATCAGGTTGCACTTTTTTCTGAAACCACATTTAAGTTTAAAATTCTTCTTGTCTCAAAACGTTGATTGTGTGTGCACACTGCTTTCTAAAAGATCACTAATTAAGCAGCAAAACATTCCAAGAGCCTTTGTGTTTCTGCTTAAATTACTACTATAATAAGCACCCAGACCTTACAGTACCTGAATCTAATTAATTACTTGTGGCTTATTCTTGTGTCCATATGAACATGCTGCACATGATTTCACAATTTCAATAATGTAAGGGTAACTTCTTTTGACAGAATTTTTAACCAATTAATTTGGATGAGCATAACCCATAGTTTCAGAGGAGCATTCAAAGCTCAATAAAGTCTCGGAATCAAAGAGAAGATTGGATGCAAACTTATCTATTCACAACAGAGAAATAATCTGCAGTACGAGTAAAACTAAACATACATGTACTATTAAATTACCTTGTATGACAAACGATGTCGTCGCCCAGCCAGATGAGCCTCTTTGGCATTTGGATCATTAAACTTGCATTCACACAACTTGCAGTGAAAACTGACAACTTTCCCGTCATCATTCTTGATCTCCTCTAAATATTCACCGCCTGAAATAATATTGTAATTAAGCAAGTTAGTGAAAGAGGAACCAACCATACACTCAAGAGTAATTTTAATTTATCATTGCAGCAATCTGAACTCTTTCAGTTTCAAGCTTAAAAATCAAGTATTCTTGGTTTTCATACGTCATATTCCAAAATTAGAAATTATCTTAGCTTCTGAGGTTTTAGTTTCACCAGATAAAAGACCCTATAGGAATGTGACATTTGACAATGTTTTAGCTCAACAGAGTTCTTCTTTTTGTAATAGAGCACTCCAAGGTTTTGCGTTGCGTGACATGAAAATGGCGCCCCAAAGACTGTTGCATAGGTCAAAGGATGAGTTATCACTTTAGTTTTTGCTAAATAAATGGTGCTTGTACTAAAAGAAGCATTTATTTCAATGTGTTGGAGCTCTAGAGTAAAAATTTTCATTTCAATAGCAAAACTCAACCATAGATGTTTTTGTTATTTTATGGCCGCCATGTTTGTGTCCCTCCGAAGGGCACAAACATGGTATCTCCATACAAAGCTCTGACTATAAATTTGGGTGACACACTTCTGTGAATAACGGGGTAATGAAAAACAGCAAAAACCTGATTCTTGGCGAAGTTGTTTATATAGCAATCATCTTTCATATCCCAGATTCTTGAATTCATTCATTGAATGGTTATGATTTTTAGTTCTGATCACGACTGGTGAAAACCGAAAATTAAATAAAATTGAATGTCACATGATCCTTTTTTTCTTTTCTGAGAATTTAACAACCCATCAATGTACACAATTTGGCGACTCTCCTCGCATCACCCATCTCTTGAAAATATGCTGCTAATTGTAAGGAGAAACGTGCTGATCACTCTCAAGGAGGATAAAGAGTTAGTACACAACATACCAACAATCTTGCTCTTGTCCACTCCAGTATAATTTGCCAAGTCAAATTTCTCTGCAAATAAAAAGCATTCTCATCATTAAAGAAATAACTGAGTTAAGAGCAGCTGCTCTGGCACACGCATCATTCACAAAACCTGGACCCCATGTTGTGATCTGGGGAAATTTCAGCATTCAGCATACCAGCAACTAGACCTAGGATTTCCTTTCTCTGCAAGTAAAGGGTGATCATCTGTGAAAAATTCCATCAGAGGAGACTCTGACAACCAATTTAGGAATGCTTGGAAACCGTAGTTTCTATGACTCAACTGCTCTTTATTCTTCTACACCATTCAACTGTTACTCTCCATTGTCCATGAAAAGGCTACATGTACATGCCATAGCTCAGTCTACAAGCAGTTGCTTTGAACTGAGTTCTTATTCATGGTTGTAAAAAAGAGATATGAATGGTTTGATTTTGTTTCTGCCACCTGCAGAAAAGGGAAACTCTGAATACTACTTAAGGTGGCTCCCTATAGTTTTATGATCGCACGCGCGCGTAGGACGAAAGCTCAAGTAATCTGCGCGCGCTCGAAGGGAAACGTCAGTGTTTTTCAATATTTTATTACGTCAACATGAGCACAACAAGAAAAACTGACAGTAAATTTTCTGGCGTTTCCTTTGGTGAAATTCTGGAAAACTTGGCACACTGGTAGTAAATGTTTTACTTTAGTCGGAGCTCGTTTTTCAGAGAAATCTATAAGACCAGTTTTTTTGCAGCGGTAAAAGAAGTAAATTTGCAAAATTTGAAAAACCTGTCTTTACAAACCCTACTTTTTTTGTCTTTAAAATTCCTATCCCGCAGGAAGCGATATGCTGTGAAAATTTGGGAAGATTTCACTGAAGGAAATTCAAGAAAATCGCAAGTAAAGCCAAAGAAAAGTAAACAACATATTTGTTTGGACATTTATAATTCAAGACTAAAACCGGCAATTTGAACAGAGATAATGGTAAAACACTATTTAATCATTGCTTATTACATGTAATTTGTTTGAGAGGACTGGGTGTAAAAACGAATGCAAATGCGGCATTCAAAACATAACACTTGCAGGCACAACACCGTAAATGATTA